AACCAGAAGGCTGGCGGTTCAAACCCACCAGCCACTCCTGGGAAGGAAGGTTGGGCAATCCTACTTCTGTAGTGATACTGCCTCGGAAACCCAAAGAGGGGTCGCTATGAGTCGGGGCCGACTCGATGGCAAATAACAACAACAACAACAACAACTGAGGAATTGGAATCATGGCCTCAAAGTCTGAGGTTTAAAGGCATTTATATGGATTTTGAATATCAAAATGAAATATATTTTTAAATCCCTGATTTTGTAAGCTTTGGAAAGTAAATTTGTGAGTTATACTTTGTTGAAAAAATTACTATGATAGATTCTGAACCCACTTTCACCTACGTTAGGAGACATGAAGGCCCTAGAAATTCTTTGTCTTAGAAGTCATAAATTCTCATTAATCTGGAACCTCTTTCCTCAATTTTGAATTGTGATCATTTTTTTATTGTTGTAAAAATATATATGATACATTATCCAAAACTATATTTTTACATGTACAATTTAACAACACTAATTATATTAATCATGTTGTACAAACTTCATCAGTGTCTGTTGGCAGGTTTTCCATGAAATTGTGATCAATTGAACAGGTTACTTTTGCTTTACAAAAAAAGAATTTGTTAATAGAATAGCACCAATTGTTTTCAGGAGAGCTTTTCAGCATATAGCGAGTACTCATAAATATTTATTGGAGAAATGAATTTCCACTGAGCAATTACTCCATTTACTCAAAGTCATTCAGAATAACTTATACTTTTCCTGCATTATAACTTAGTCTGAATTAGGAAGATTTTGTTGTACCTAAAATCCATTTCATTGTAGGGTGCTGTAATTGGAATATGTAGCTATTCTTTCTACTTTCTTAAGATTGCAATAGCTTGAACATATGTCTATAAATTCAGAATATACTTAGTATAATTTACTACTTATTATAGACTAGAAACCACACTCACAGTTTCCATAGTTTCAGGGAAAACATTTTCAACTTCTGGTATTTTAGAGACAACAACCTCAATTTCAGATGGATTGCAACTGTTCTCTCCATTTAATTAAAGTCAATGCTTTGATAACTAGTTGGTTTTGTAATGGTGATATTAGTTGTCATACATAAAATCTATAAAACAAATAACAGACCAAATATTTGAGAGTTAAAATCATATTTCTGTATCTATTATTTGAGAAATACAGAAGCCATAATACTTAGGGTTTTTTCCCCCAATTAACGTTATCAGATTCTCAAACAATTTTCCCTTTCTCTCCCTCCCATTCTTCCCACTTTCCTTCCTTTTTTGTTTTTCCCTCTGACTCATTACATAAAGAATTTAAATGGGACTCTAAAGTGGTACAACCACTGTGGAAATGAAATGATGCTTCCTTAAAAAGTTGGAAATAGAAATACTATGCAATACAGCAATCTTATTACTAGCAATATATCTTAGAGAAATAAGAACCATGACACAAACAGATACATATATACTGATGTTCATTGTGGCATTATTCACAATAGCAAAAAGCCCATCAACAGATGAATGGATAAACAAATGATGGTACCTACACACAGAATATTGTACAATGTTAAAGAACAATAATGAATCTGTGAAATATCTCATAACATGGATGAACCTTGAACACATTATGCTGAGTAAAATTAGTCTGTCACAAAAGAACAAATATTGTATGAGATCACTATTATAAAAAGTCAAGAAAAGGTATTCACACAGAGGGAAACATTCTTTGATGGTTACCAGGGGTGGGAGAGAAAAGGAGGCTAAATCACTAACTAGATAGTAGACACACATCAACTTGGGTGAAAGGGACAGCAATATATGATAAAGGGGAGATCAGCAGAAAATGATCAAGGAAAAAGAAGAAATTGAAGCAGCACAAGAGTTAAAAGCAACAAAGGTAAATGCTATTACATACACAATCCTGCAATAACAGTAATAACAATAATCTACAAGTGGATGCAGAGACAGGCAAGCTGAACAGGTATGGGAAGGCAAATGGGACTACACTCACAAATATATATAGGTTTGACAAAGCATATTTCTACTTAAGTATCTATTGTTGTTGTTGTTGTTATTTGCCATCGAGTCGGCCCCGACTCCTAGCGACCCCTCCTTGGGTTTCCGAGGCAGTTATCACTACGGAAGTAGGATTGCCCAACCTTCCTTCCGAGGAGTGGCTGGTGGATTT